GCGCCGGGCCGCACGCAACCGCCTCTGATACATTCTCAAACTTCATATTCTCCTAACATGCAGGCTGGTCGGCCCTTCCCGAGTCCGGGGCCCCCAAGCGAGTCCGCCTCGCCATGGTCGGAAACGCTGCGGAGACATGGGATGGGAGGGTCACTTTTTGGCGTTGAGGGACAGCAAGCCATGTTAGCACTTCCGGGAAGCGAGGCACCTATCCCTGTGCATATGGACTTTTCGCAAGCGTCCAAGAAAGCAGACGAGAAGAGGCAGAGAAATGCAGTGGCTTCGACGAGGCACAGGAGGAAGAAGAAGATCATGCAGGAGGAGAACTCAAAACAGCTACAAGAGCTTCGGGATGAAAGGCGTCTCATGGAGATACGGATCGAGGAGTTGATTCAACAGCGGGACTTCTACCGTGAAGACCGTAACCGTTTACGAGACATTGTCGCACAAACGCCATCAATAAGTGGCCATGCTGCTGGACCTCCTAGTCCTACTATTTCGACAARCAATTYTTATGCAGAGACTGGGTCGTTAGCATCGGGGCCATCTGGGTCTATGAGTTACGGAGATGTACTATCGAACGAAAGACCAGCCCAACGCCGTCGAACCGACGACCATCCTGAATATTCGCTACCACCTTACGGGTCCCCTGCGAGCGGCCACCCGAGTGCATCTCCTAGTGGACTACCTCCAATGCCCATGCCAGGTTATGGCGGGCCATCACGGCCATCATCTGCGGCATCCTCGGCGAGCGGTGAAAGGCTGCCGCCGCTGAGAGCGATGGAAGGTCGACCTCCTACTGGCCCACCCCCCGGGCCAGGGGTTCAAGAGCAGGATCCGCGAACTGGTCAGTGGGTTCCCGTTCAGCCTCGAGTTACAGAGACTGGCTGGGCAACAAGGGACACTCATCGCAGGCCTTAATGCGATGGGATTTGAGATTTGAGACTTGCAAGCGTTTGGCTACGCATTACAGTTATGGAGACCTAGTGTTCTCGTCTATTATATAATATCGGAGTGGTTCAGGTTTTTGGCATGATTTTGGTAACTCGCGGGTGGGACTTTTGGAAGACGCATCTGTTGGGCAACCGACGAATTTATCGCAACTTGTAATGTTGTCTTGTCTTATCTTGTTTCCTTGTTCTCCGTTCTGATTACGTGTTTTCTGTTGTCCGAGTTCAGCATTGTTTGCATACACGGAGTGCTCATGACGGATGTGTTGGTGTAAGCATGTATCTTTGTACTATGGACATGTTTTCGCCTTTGTCATTCCGTGCTTCCTCTTGGGAAACGGGACGGACTGGACTGGAATATTGAGGTATCTGTCTGTTTTTTACTCCTTTGTATTTGCTTGGTTGCTTCAGACTCCAGTTGTCTTGAGCTGGGTCATGAGGCAGAGCTCTTCTGCGGCCGGATATCCCTGGAGCCTTTGCTTCTCAAACAGTACGTCGTCTCGAAGGCGATGGTATACTCGATCAACAAGTACAGGCAGCTGCGCTTCACAAAAGCACGCGGCAGAAGAATACCTTGAATTACAGTTACTTGGGGCTTGCCGCTCAAAACCAGTGTCTCCAGTAATGGCATAGGTGCGGTATCGACCATGACCCATTTTCATTTTGGTGTTTCCTTTGTGTTTTATGAATGGTTCATAGCTATTGTTTTGGTTGTTTTGTTGTTAGCAAGTCATTTGATACCAGATTGGAATTGTGAATTTAGCTTTGTATCCAATATTTATCTAGCGGGAAGTGGTTTGGGATTAGGCAGGAGTTCTCTCGGCTCTTTGGCTTTCCTTTGTTGTGGGAGAGTGCTTTGGTGAGTGTTACCTGATACCCCGGATCTTTTTATGAATCGAAAAGCTCTTGAGTTACATAGTCTAGTATAGTATAGGATAGAGTGAGAAACACTAGAAACAAGCGTTTGTGGAGGAAGTATTTCCTGCACTTAATTATAATTTGGTATTTCAGTGTTCATGGCAATGACTTTACTATGAGTCGAGGTGCTACGGCTGTTACAACCAGATTGCAGCAAGATATCGAGATGGAGAACAGAGACAACAACGCATGTGAGTGAGAATGGCCGTGATATTGTCATATGTACGGATATTACTCCGTATGCTGTAAGAGATTTCTTCTGCTGGGATACACAAGTGACGTGTCCGAAACACTTGATGGTCTCTTTTGTTGTCCCCTCTCCCCCCCCTCTCCCTCTCTGACTCGCCTTACCTTGGGCAGTGGACAACGGTCAAAGCCACCTCATGCAAACATATGGCGTTGGTGCTGTCTGTGACGGTTGTTGCATGCTCCCAAAGTTAGCGGCAGTTAAGCCAACGGGAATGTTCCCAGGGGCAGGGGTGTTGCAGTACATACATACATACAGGACAGGACATGCACGTAGTGTAGCTGCATATACATACGGTACAGCATGCGTGTGCTTGCTTACACCCATATTAGCTTTAGCAGATACCAGTATCTGCATGTGCTTGGTTTTTGTTGCCTCTGGTCGTGTTACAGTGTGTGTGGTCTGTTGTCGTCACATCCTCCAATCTCGGCTCTTGGCCAGGGGTGTGACGAGTAAAAAAAAGAGTTTGACTGTTTTTTTGGGCACTGGGCGGCTAGCGGCTAAGGCACATTAGTTTCCTATTCTGTCATATTGTGTGCATGGAGATAGTGGTGATTCACATTAGATCACACTTCTTCAAGCAGGGGTTGTTATTAGTCGCACTTTTACAAGATTGTCGTAGTGAGAGTGTAGGTAGGTAGGTACGTACATACACAATTGGGCACCTACCTAGAGGGCAGTAGGTACCTATTTGGATTAGGTATCACTCACTCAGTGCCCAATCTCCAGTGTAAGGTGCCTTAAGGTTGGAGGATCCTACTGTAATCTCGGTTCTGTGTCTACTCGATAATCTGTGATAGAGTTGATCTTCATCAACCTAATTCCATACTGACTAACGTAACTTTTAGGTACGTAATCCCGTGGTATTATCATCTTGTCATACCCGGCCCCCACACTGTGATCGCGCTATCCCGCGTTATCGGATCATGTCATCTGCTTTAGCTGAACGAGAAATCTGATCTCCTGCCTGTATTCCCAGCATCATCCTGGCAGCCAGCCATCAACGCCGACACCATCTCAGCCCGCACTGTGCGCTATAGGCTAAGGTAGGTTGGTACTCATTATACCTTGACAATAGGGAAGATTTTGTTTTACAGTTGTAACATGGTTGATTCTGTTAGTCTTGGTGCCAACTTGTCTGAAAATATTACATTCTTGGCCTCGGTTCACGAATACATCGTGTTCAAGTGCAAAAACCAAACTGAAAGGCAACAAGAACTCTCTGATGCCGAGTGCACACCATAGGTCAAGTAAAAAGATCAGGCGATTTATTAGTTATGCAGAAAGTGGATGCAATTTATCTCATGAAAATTACAGTGTGTACCTATAACGAGGGCCCTGTTCTGCATACTGTGGCGCCAGGTGCTGCACTCTAAACCTTGGGGTTGCGCAAACACCCGTCAGTTTATAGGCTATAGAGCAATACCTCGTCAATTAATTGCAAAGGGAGGCCTCGTATGCAAACATTGCTTACATATGTCGCGTATTGGGGTTACTTTCCACTTCCTTTCTTTCCTCTTTTGATCTCTGCCTCACAATCTACGGTCCGTGGTTGACATGTCACTTATATGCACAACGCAAGGAAGGCTTGCAGCTAGCCGCAGTCAACTGACACCGCAGCTATGGCTGCGAGAACAACGCTAGTTAAGCAGCCAAATCAAAGAACAGGCGGAGATTCATTCCTTTCTAAGTGTAACCTGCTTGTCTTGCTCCTCATCTGGTTTGGCACAAGGGGTAAAGCGAAATGGGATGGTTGTTTACTCGACGCCTCGCTCATGCTGAATATTCCGAGTCACTGTGATGAACCAATAGAGGAACTGCCCTGGATTTATGCTTCGTCGTGATGCTTATTCCCATTGACCGTGTCTGAATTTGGGAACTCGGACTGAATCACCTTCTACAATGAGGACCTTGGCATCAGGCCTTCTCGCCACTGGGTAGGGAACGGTATCATTCTCGTATAAACAAATTGTACTCATTGCCACTGTGACATGCATGATCTACGGACATGAACTTCAAGGTTCCCATGTCATGTCTTGCTGATTTCTGTGCCATGGTTCCTTTGGTTTATAGATTTACGCCTTGGAGTTGTTAATCTAATATTCACAGGTCCTCGGCTTACAGTTTGTCAATAGCGCTGTATCATCTTTGCAACAATCGTATCTTCTACAGTATTACGTTACGTCCAATTAATATTACGTTCTATGATGAGGTTCAGCAGTGAAAGGCTGAAGCCACACAACAAGTGTCAATAGCATGTCGTCGATCCATACAAGATAACCCGATATAGCCTTGACAAGATGATACTCAACGATTCGCCAAAATGCAGATTTCAAAGTGATTGGGGTAAAACACAAACTAAATGATGAGCCAGCCACTCTCTTCATATCACAGTCGCTATCAATCTCTTTAAGGACATCATTACTGAGTCGTGCTCGCTTTATGCTTGATCAATATCAAACCTCGCCTAAGTAGTCATGTTTATCGGTATCAGACGCCGTCAAGAGCTAACAGGGATCAACCACTTCTTTATAATCATGCAAGTACCTGATTAAGATGCGGCAACCATCCCTTTAGCTTTAATTTATAGTTACATCAATTAAATCCCCCGGTTAATTCAAATTCTTTGATCTGAAAATGAGTCCCAAGATTGTATAAGTCAAGCCACACCATGTGGCCGCCACGTGTGGCTGGGATCTGTTCTGGCCAACCAGCAAGCTCCAAGCTCGACATCTGGCCTTGAGCGTCACCTCAACACCAAACACCCCGCGATCAACGTCACGTCAGTATCTGTCAGGCGCATTGCGAATTTGGCTCCATTGAAGACAGTTTCTCTCTCCGCAAGCTCCCAGATACCACAAAAGAGGCATTGCCTCATCGCCACCATGGCCTCCTTATTCCCTCGCTCGAGTATCCAGCTCGATTACCCTCTCTACGCCGTCGATTTTGACCCCGAGGATTCGACCCGAGTAGTTGTAGGTGGTGGAGGTGGTGCTGGCCGCTCTGGTGTTGGAAACAAAATTGTAAGTCGGTTTCTACAGGTAATGACTGGCGCATAGCAATGGACTAACGAGATGCGCAGACTGTCCTCGAAGGCGTTTCTCAAACAGAACTACGAACGGCTGGAGAGATCAACCTTTCACGCGATGAAGACAGCGTCATGTCCCTGGCAGTTGGCCCTCACAAGGGAAAGACAACATATCTCTACGCCGGCGTCAACTCCAGCCCAGATAGCATCGCAAAGGGCAAGAATGAACACCTCCGAATCCTAAGCGTCGACCCTTCGAAGCTGCGCACTGCCGTTGGGGCTAAGACACCCGATGCCAACATCTCAGAGGTCGCGCGTACCTCTCTCTTCGAAAACCCTGACCTCGATACATATCAGCGACTATTGCGCATTGCGGGATCGACTGGTGCTGCAGCTACAGCAATGGGCAAGGAGCCCCAATTGGCTATCTTTGACGCTGCGGGTGCTACAGCCAAGCTACGAAATGTTCTGAAACTAGACAAGGAGGCCGAGGATTTGGATATTGTGCAAACAGGAGAGAATGAGTTTCAGGTTGCCTACTGCTACAAGTACGAACTGTATCTTGTCAATGTCGGCGCCAAGGAGACCAACGAACCACAGCGGGTATACGTTATGCCAGACGACCATGGCGAACGGCCTGCTTTCCGAGCAATTCGTTATCTCAGCCCTCATTTCCTCGTCGCTGCGTCCAACTTACCCAAGCGAAGCGGAGTTGTGATACAGGCTTTGAGATTACCCAAGGACAGCCAACCAGATGCACGCCTGTCCATCAACGCCAGGATACCAAGGAAGATTTCTGCCACTGCTCTTGCTGTTGCGAACCTATCACCTCCAGCTTCTCCTCTGAACGCCCTCGGCGATACACAGTTCATCATCGCTATTGCAGGCCATGATTCATCCATTTCACTCTATACACTGGAACATACAACGGGCGGCACTGTTGAGCTGCTGGCTAAAATGTGGCACCTACACACTCTCAAGGAAGTCCACGGAACAGACAATATTACGGGAGTGGCATTCTCTCACTTCCAGACACCCAAGAACAACCTTCGCCAACAGTACATCAAACTCGCCAGCACATCTCTCCAGAAGACGGTCGCTGTCCATAGCATTCCCCTTGCGAAGCATGTGGATAAGTTTCCCCGCAATCCGAAGGGACCTCCTCGTCCAGTTCGCTACGTCACAGCTATGAAGTCCCGCGGTGTTTCCTCTCGTGGCCTCGGTATCACGATGGCCATCATGGCGCTTATCATGGCCCTCGTTGCGCAAACTGTTCTCGAGCTCTATGGCGGATCTCGCCCAGTTCTTGGTGTGCAGAAGATATTCCCATCATGGCACGGCAGTTTGCGCAGCCCCGATCACCCACCCGCCGCCTTCTTAGCTGACGAATTTCTTGCCAAGCTTGCTGGTCGCGATATCGCCAAGGCTGCCACTGGTGAAACTCTGGTTGTTTACGAAGGTGATGTGCCTCCTGCAACTGCCGGTGAAGACGGCCAAGCCCCGGAACTCAAGCTTGATGTCCACGAGCCATCTGTCCATGGCCCAGGCAAGACTTGGGAGGAGTTAGGCGAGGAACAGAAGGAGGCCTGGAAGGCTCGTCTCAAGGAGGCTGGCGCCTGGACTCAGACCATGGGCGAGAATGTGTTCAAAGGTATTCTGTTCGGCGAGATTGCTGGTGCTGTCGGCCGAGCTGTTGCTGGTTGATATAGCATGACAGACGGTTCTCAAAAGAGACGATTCTGAAATCTTGTATTGTATCATGAGTTTGTGCTTTATTTACATGTTTCTATATGATGGCGAGGGAGTACTCTGGGATCTGGTTTGCCGTTTTAAGCCCATCATGAAAGTGGCGGTAGCGCATACTGAAAGCCTGTTACGCATTTAGGAAGATAATGTACACATGTAGTTATAGTTATAGTTATTGTTATTGGTAATGTGTTCTCCGCATCCATGTTCCTCCATCGCGTGTCGTGACTAGTCGGTCATGACTTTCCATCCATATCGCCAGGCGTGTGTGATGGTCTCGGAACAAGATAGATCGAGAGATCAAGAGAATATGTTCCAAAAGACCCCATTGATACTTGATCAACCACCCCGGGTACCACTATCTCAGTACATGCACTACTCTCCTTGAATGAGAAGCACGTAGGAGTGCGGCTACACTTGTTCGCACCGCTAGGTAACCATAACGTAGCACATTGAGGTTGCTAATGATCGTTTATTCAATACTTAAGAATTAACAGCCGTGAGAAGTTCAGTTCAGGTCAGGGTTAAACTGAGAACATCAGAATCTGAACTTCAAGCCAGCATTTGATGGTATTCAAATAGTTGTCTGTAGAGGTAAAGGGGCCCATGAAATGCCCACCGCAATATTCCTTGAGATTAACATATGCGTCATCCTCTTCTAATCATTCTTGTATATCTCTGTGTGTTCATATTGAAATCCTATTGCGAGAGTGTCAAAAAAATATGATTCGAACTCTAAAGGTAGAGTCTGGCTATGCAACGCATACTATACACAAGAGCTTCGTTGAAACACACGTCGAACATCTTCTTTGTCACGCGACATAGCGGACATGAGATCAAATCAGCTAGTATGTCTCCCTTCATGGATGTATTTATGGTAGTTATGTCGCTTTCATGTAGATCCCATGCCGACCGAAACCGATGGCTCGGTGGTTGTGTCTTTGATGAACGACGTCGCCAGCAACTTGACAACAGTCAGTGTAAGGATACATCTTTGGCGTTTCAAAGTGCCGGCCAATAATTTCACATGCCAGACTAATGTGTGTTTCTAAGTTGAGCGCCTTTAAAGAGTAAACCTTCGAGGTAGTATCTGCCCTCATCATCCGCCACCGGCTTTGTCAATACAGGGATGAGTGCTCTACCAGCTCAGCATCAGATTTAATATACTGGCATTTTGCCATAAGAAAACAGGCCAGGCATTTCAACATCAGGGTCATGTTACCCGCGTCGTAGCTGGTGGCAATCGAAGCTGGTTGTCCTTCTGAAGTCCTCGATGTTTCAATGGGAATCTCTCATAGTCCCCTTTAACACGACACTGCCTACCACATGTTTATGAGCGCCTACAGCAGTGAGAAGATAAGTTTCTTGCGAACCTCCACGGAAATTTGGCTTGGTTTATCTCATGTCCATCAAGGGCATCTCAATGCTCAATGGCTGTAAAACGTACTGTCGTCCCCAGCAACAACGTATGTAGTCAACGGAACTTTGGTCCCGCAAACGTGCCAGTTTGACAAGTCTAATAAAACGTTTCGGAATGTTCCACAATTCTTAGAGAAGTTAGGCGATCATGGTATCAGGAACAAGCGACACTATCGGGCTCCCGCATTCCAGTCGAGCCGATCATTTCGATAATGTCTCTAGAGGCCATCACAAGTCAAAGGATATGCGGGCGTTGGGAGAGCCACCTAACTTGATGGACAGAAGGATCACTTGAGTCTCAAAATCGCCAAGGTGCAAATTGAGAAAAGCATCACAGTCCCTCATTCTCCCACATCAGTTGGCAGTTCTTCTGTTGCACCGGGCATCATCATCGACAACCTGTAAGCACAGCGTGTACTGTCGACAGCTGCCAGTACAAACACCTAGGCATTATAAGTTTAGGCCGTAGCCAGGTCTAGCCCAGGAACTGAACTGCTTCACGCCGTTCAGAACGGCCCAGCCGATCAAGGCCCTTGCAGAGCCATTCAGGTAGTCGAGCCCTTCAACGTCCGTCTACAAAGTTTTTGGTAAAGGGCTTGGCAGTCGAGAACCAACAGTGCTCATGATTGGTACAACATCAATGATGGCTTCGCCCATGACCAGTCCAAGGTTTGGTGCAAACCCTGTGGCGCTCCCAGATTCGGTCGAATCTTGACAGTTGGCTTGTTTGGTGATGTCAGGTTCTCGTCTTTTGCGAGTCCATCCTGTGTGATGAGCTGATGTTGATGTAGATTGTGATAGTGAAACTTTGGCTCGACCTTGGTGTTACAGACAGAGCCAGACACTGGGAGATCACGACTGAGGCTTGATAGATGACGCCGTTCCAACGTCAAGTTTGATGCGGTACTGAATCAAAGCGTTGTCTATTACACGATGAGTTGCGCTTTTCCAAAGTTTACTGCAGACATGAAACAAGGGCGGCTCTCATCTTAGACAGTACTAACATGGTCAAAACGTGACAGACAGTAGAGGTTGACAGGCATTGAAATAGCGGGAGAATAGACAGGCAAACAAACCAGCCTCTGAAACGAAGAGCGCTGAACTCTGTGGCAATTGCAGTTATTGAGTCCTCTGTCTCTGTCTCTGTCTCCGTCTCTGCTGCTGTGCCCCTTTTGAAATGAAATGTTTGCCTGTGGCTCAATTTGATTGAAAATGGATCCCTCATTGATTGATTGACAGATGCTCATGGCGCGTCTACAGGGTTGTTCCCTGTCACGGAACCCTGATTTTCGCTTCTTGGCGACACATCCAGCTACAGCGACAGCTCTCAACACGTGTGAGAGGCTCGTTCGTTGTCTCTAAAACATTCTATTCTCTGCGCCGTCAAACAAACTCTCTTTTGTGGGTGAGTCTTTTCTTTTTATCCATAACCTGCAGCTTCGTAACCGTTTGAAACAAGAGTCCAACTCTGTCTGCTTGAATCATGTGAATGCGTCTCGATGGAACTTGTTAAGATGCAGCACGACAAAAGAGGAAAAGCAAGCAGACATGGATTGGCCTGCCCCTGTCTGTGGCGATATTTTGGAATTCCATCCACATTCCATCCAATTCCCACAGGCTCCCGGCTAGCTGGGTCGATCGTTGGATGCAATTAGACTCTTGGTTATTATATTGAGCGTTGACTATAGCATCTCATTTGCAAAGCACAATACGATGCCTTGAAATGAATACCCTTAAAGCTCATTTCAAGTCCGAGGGCCTCCCAAGTGAACAATAACTCCTTGATTCAAAAGATCAGCCTGAAGCCGGAAGAACATGTCAGGGGCATCAGCCACGTTGGTGTCCCCAACATACGTAGCGTAGTTGGCTGACGTGATCGATTCGGCATTCATGGTTCTATCGTGACTCGACCACCAACTCGGGTCTGGGTCTGACCACAACAATAAGTGAGATGCGATGTTTGCCGGACTGAAAGTCCACAGTACATTGTGCGTCCTGTTGTTCATCCTCGTCCTCGTCCTCTTCAGGCAGGTCTACCAAAAAGGGCGAGGAAAATATTTGGAGACAATAGCTCCAAAAGCCTCCCGGCGCCAAACGGCATCGGCTCTGTCTAGGACAAGACCATCACGAACTAGGCCACGAACTATTCCTTACGTGGGCGTCGCCAACTGGCAGGGACGTAATTATAAGCGAGTCAAGCTGTTTACGCATACGCAGATCAACAATAACAAGCATATCTCGTCGACCTGGAGAGACATGTTACAGACAGAGAGAATGAGAAAGAAAGGTACATGCAAGCTGAAGAAACACGAATGAACGGATTTGTCCGGGCGTGGGCCAATGTCAAAGCGCACGGCACAGGCTGATTCTTGGACCAGCTGCAGGGGCATGGGAATAGCATGGGATAGCATGGCTGAGCGGACAAAGCAGGGCAGGATGAGGCGAATGAAGGGAAAGGGGAGGGGATTCTCCAAGCAGAGAGGAGCTGCAGTGAGACATTCTCCTACATACTTTTGGGGCATACACGCAATTCAGGCAGCGGCTTGAAACTGAGGTAGCACGAGTGTTATTCTTGGTGATGAGGCAGTCATAGGCTGAGATGGTGAGATTCCCGTATGCCATTGAGCTACCAAAGTTCAATAACAGACCTCAGCTAAGAGTAACGTTTCGTCTTGAGGAGCAAAAAACCATCCGAATCTGTTCAATAGAGTTTCTTAGGGCCAAAAGTCTCCATTTGGGGAACATGGTGGGGTTGGTTGTCAGATCTCACCAGCCACATGTTGATGCGGGAGCTAAAGCGGATCGTCGCTGGGCGGAATAAGACAAAAAGAAACGAAGGAGACAGCAATGAATACAGCCTGACTTGCAGGCTTGTGTTTCTGCTATCACATACGAGAGGCGGTAGTCGAACCAGTACTTGGTCTATCTTCTCATGTTGGCGGTCAGTAGAGTCCGAGGCTGCAAAGCTTGGAGGCGGTGATGGCAGATCGACGGCATTTGTCAGGACCTGCGAGTCGCGTGGAAAGGACAATGTCGCTCGGTGAATTCTGACTGGATATTCGACATATTTGCCCCGGCCCGTACCAAGAGCTTGGGTTAACGCAAGGAGCATCTGTACATCAGCTACACAATAATCGTATTACGAGTCAAGACCAACGCCTAAAGTCCAGCTCTCTCCATACAAGCCAAGATCTCTCTTGAAATTGACCGTCCATCTTGGCAGCGTCAATCAAAGAGATGTTTGATGCAGGGTAGATGTCCCATCCACTCACTGGCTTCAGTGTCTGTTGGTACCTTGCAGCATATTCCGTGCCCCTTTCAAAGGAAAGAGAAAAAAAAATACCCGCGAGAACATGATTTCCTATTGGATGGTTCGCAATCAAAAAGACACGACAAGATCTGGTTTTGTGTAGAGACAGAACCGCTGATAGGATTCCCGGGTGATGTGTGTCTCGGGAGATGCAGCTGGATCATGTGTTTGGACTGGTTTGAACTTTTACGGGGTGGTTCATCAGCTGGGCGCTAAAAAGGTTGCAGTGGGCAATCACTACTTGCGAGGAAAAAAGAAACAAGAGAGGAGAAAAAGGAAATCGAACCAAGACTTGCATACACATACATACATATGAATGACAGCCAAGTTACTTCGACTTCAGTTGCATCTGTATGTTTGGTCAATCATTCATTCACCGCTGTAACAAACGCAGTTATCGAGCAAAGATGGCGACAAGACAGAGAGAAAGAGATGCGCAGATACGCCACCAACGGTTGGATCGTAAGCGGGACGATCGAGAATCCCAATTCGAGTCCCGTCGGTCTGGGTCTTGGAGGGCTGGCCCCCAGGTCATCAAAGTCAAGTCAGGCCAGACCAGACCAGGTGAGAAATGCCAGGGTCCGGGCGATTTTAGAATTCGACGCTACCAGAGTTATTCCCTTTGATGGTCAGCAAGGGGAGCAATACACCATGGAAAGTTTGACGTTATTGGATCGAGGCTGAAAAGAGACGTCGAACGCAACTCGGATGTAAAGCTGACAGACGAAGAGGAGAACGAGAAAGAGAAAGTGGTTTGTACGTGATGATGAGATGAGATCAGAGATCCACATTCAGTGGTGCTCCAGCGGTTGAAACTTGAGTTGGAGTACAGCAACAGTAACAGTAACAATGAGGACCTCTCCGCCTCGAGTGAGTGGATGGATGGACTGGACTGGACTGGACTTCCTCACCTCACCTAACGAGGGGAGGGAGTTGGGCAGGGCTGAGATGCCCAACTCAATCTGACATTCATTAATGTCCATATCTATGTATCTACTGCACACATATGCCGAAACATTCATGATAAGGGTGAGACAAAAACATGGTGGTATTGCTGATACCATATCATATCACATTATCACTGTAAAACATCCATCCCAGATCAAGCACAGCAATCAGTCAGAACTGACTGAACGAAGCAAGATGGAGATTCATGAGGACCCCTCGACTGCCCTGGTTTTTCTTCATCTGGCCAATTGGCCTGAAGCTAAAGCGGTGGCACTAAGCCCACCCAAGCCTAGGAGCCAGAAGCCAGGAGCCAGGAGCCACCATTCACCACCAAAAGGTGAATGAATTGGTGGTAATGGTGGTGACGGCATTAAGCCAGCCTGACCAGGGCCCCTCCCACCTTTTTGATCCTCCTCGATGTCAAGGTTTTCTGCTCTCAGAGGGCCAAATACACAAGATATCTCGAATTTTGAGAGTGGGAGCAATGTAGATTGTCGATTTTCTTCAAGATCGCCTAGTAAATCAAGCGCCGACAGTTCACACTATCACATCCATCCATCGATGAGAGAGCAACACTGAGCGCGCCTCCAAAAAAGGTGTGAGCGGACGGGGGTCTTCCCAGATGCACATGGGGGCATGTGCAGGGGTTTTAGGACCACGCTCCCTGGTGAGGCGACCAAGGGCGGGAAGAGAAGGGAAGCTCAAGAGACTAAGAGACTAAAATAAAAAAACACTTGAATGATTGATGAGAATGGATTGACTTTGCATGGTCTGGGATAGATCTTCAGATTGATTGTGCTGTCGGCATTTACTTTTTATATATGATCGAGAGAAGACTCTTTCATGCCCCTTTATCGATGAAATGAAAGGAGATGAAAGAAATGACTTGCTGATGCTCAGTCAATATCTCTGTCAGTGCCCGGTGTGAGTGAGTGTGTGTGACGATGACATCCCGGGCCTCGTGGCATCTCCGCATCCAACTCTTTTTTCCAAGGAACCGTAGGCTTAGCAGCAGATGCTCATAGATTCATCTTGAAGAATTCAGGGAACTTCAATGATCATGAGATATCTGAATGAGAGTGTATTCCCAAGCCACAGTTTCCTCCAAGTCCTTTCTTCTTAACTACTGCCTGTCTTCTGGCTTGACGGACGGACGGTGTGTCGTCGAGGTCGTTGATGAGGTGGAGTTTGGACTATGAGATCCCTTGACAAGAATGGGTCCCCTTATTATTGTTTACCCCCCGTCAATCTCTCTCCATTCACAAGCACCACCGTAAGCAAGATGCTCAACATCTCATTCAATTGTTCTCTGAGCATCAGGAACTCTCCTATCTTTCAACCACCATTTACTGGCGATCTGGTCAGAAGTCGCATCATGTCCTGCTGAGGTGACGGATGATCCACGAGCCAAGGCCAGTGACTGACAGCCCACCACCACCACCAACTACCAATCCCACCACCTTCAAACACTTCCCTCATGCAAGGCAAAGTACGTGGAAGTGAAAGTGGAAGTGGGAGTGGAAGTGGAAGTCTTCCATACATTGGACGCGGGTGGGCCGCCTCTCTCTTTTTTACCTTGCCTTGCATTTCAGACATGCCGCTGCAGCCTGTTGAAAGTGCATCTTGATTGATCATGCTCAGATTGTCCTTGGAAGCCAGTTGAAATGAACGAGATCCTATAATAGAACTGTGTGTGTATGTGCATGCAAGAAACACAATGCAATGTGCTCGAGGACTGGCTTCAAACATGGAAGACAAGAACAAATAGACATCCTCTGTCAATGCTGGCGCCCATCAATGTACCTGGTACCGTACCTGGGCGCCCTCACAATTCCCCAACCAGACTAGGGGAACAGGGATGTCTGCCCTTTTCAAACAACCAGGACTTCTCCAGTCCCCGTCCAAGTCACAGTCCCGGGGTGCAATGAGACTCAACCTCGACCTTTGATATAATAAGGAGAACAAAAAACGTTCAGCCAACAGCGTTCGCTTTGTCCAGACTGATATTGTCGAGATATTTCTTTCAACCTCGATTAGGTCTTCTTTCATTCTTCCTCTCTCCGACTCGACAGGGGGACTCGGCCAATGACAAAGTCGTTGAAATGGGAATGTGCCTCTTGTTCTTGTCCCGTCGTGCAAGCGTGTCACCTTTGTCTCCAATGCTTTGTCGCAGGTTCTCCCTCCTCTTCACTTCCGTTTGAGGTTCGACGTCTTGTCTACCCCACTGATGTGCGGTACATCCTTGACCAACACCTTGTTTGGCGATATAAGGTTGATCAACGTTTAGAGAGAGAGGGAGTTAGAGGGAGAGAGAGAGAGAGAGTTTATGAATTGAAATTGAGCAATGCCATGGGTTTTTTTTTTATTTATTTTTTTTTTAAGCATTGTTGCAAAACGTTCTGCTAGACCGTGCACCGTTGAGATCAAGGGTCGTTACTCTGATGCTCGGTGCCATTCGTTTCAACTGTCGCCAATCCCAGACACCACAGGTATCTGTGAGTAGGAGAGACAACACAGCACAAGCACGCAACAGCACGCACGGCAGAGAATTTCATCGCACTCTGCTTGCTGTACCGTTCCGTCCATTGATTTGGAGAAATGATTCTAGCGGCCGTCCAACGACGGATAGACGCCGCCCATTAGCTCATGCGACCGACGCCTCAACCTTTGGTGGATATGGATGGTCAAGGGAAATACCTAGGCCTAGGTAGAGGGCGATGAGTTGGAGGGGTCGCCCACAAAAAACCTACATGCCACACTGGGCTGAACATCTGTGAAACAGACAGCAGACGTTGAAGAGAAACAGGTTGTAAGCTGAGAATGAATGCCGCATACACCTGAAAGAAGCGGCAGCAGCAGGCAGTCGACATGCATGGCTCAGATGGCGGTATGGTTACGTACCTGGACGAGGCCATCTCCAAGGCTGTGCAGTGTGAGATTTCCCCCCAAAGCCTCAGGGTTCTCTCTCTTGGTTCTGTCCTCTTGAGAGAGAGACAGAGACAGAGACAAGAGACAGACGGTCAGGTACTGGTACCGCACACCAACGGAGCCAGTCCAGCTCAGGGATAGCCTCCCTCTAGGCTCAGGCCCAGGCGCCCTGCCGACGCTTGTCCATGCCCCCCCGTCGTCTCTTCTTGGCTCTAGTGCGACTCTGCCTTATCCACCATGACCTTGGAAGTTCCATCGACCTCTTTTCTGTCGTGGTTGATGAGCTGCTCCTCTCGATTTGCACGTGTGAGCGAGAAGGAAGATGGAGATGGGACAAGAGAGCTGAATGTTTGAAACATTTGGTGAGTGAAGAGAAGGGATCTACGGGGTTGAGGGTACACATGGGGGCGCTCTTGGGGTTAGAGTTTGATAGTGGACTCGTGCCTGGAATTGGAATTCGTTTTGGCGACAGTGCCGTAACCGTGAGGACAGGACAGGAAGAGGCGAGGAGAGACAAGAAAAGGTGAGACCTTTATCCTAAGAGACAAAAAGACTCGGGTAAGTACAGTATTATGCAGTAAGTATTTAGATTAGTTATTTTTGACAGTTCAGTTCAACGACACAGGTTTTGTTGCTCCCTTGGAAGCAGGGCCTTGTTGATATTGGATCATTCACTCCCATCAGTGATGAGCATCCACCCCAAAGAGGAATTCTCGCTGCCACTTCTGTATCATCCATCACATGGTCATTTCTTCTTATCTCTTCGTCTGTAATCATGGCCTCTGCTGCTTCTGAGCTTCTGAAGCCTCGTGAAATACAGTGATTGACTTGACTCACTGCTACCGTCGTCAGTATCGAGATCAAGTCGTCGTCATTCCCAGTCAAGCTCAGCAGTCCAGTCCAGTCAGTTCCATAAAAGTGAATTGCTCCAACTCGGCAGTCGCCCTGACCCTGTATCTCCTCTGGCCTATCAAACCTACAGCAGATTGACAGAGTGGAAAAGGTATCGGATACATCCCATACACCAGACTTGACCGGGATGGCTTGGGAGACCAGGGTCCCTTGGTAGTAAGGCAAGGTAAGGTAAGGTAGTGAGTGCTAGTGGCCCGGCGCCGCCCAAATTCCACAGTCCACACCCACCTCACTACCTAGGTCCTGCTGAGGTGCCTGCTGCCATCTTGGAACCCCCAACTCGAGGCGCTTGCGACCTTTTTCACCAAAACAACACCAAAACCGTTGACCATCACCGCCCTAGGTCGATCGGTGAACTCGACTCTTCCTTCCTTCTCTCCTCTCCTCTCGCTGGGTTTCAGCTCTGACGGTGTTTGTCGTTTGTTTGCTCGACGACCATCGCATCCACCTTGGCGATCCTTCTTTTTCTTATTCGACTTTACTTGGTTACTTTGCATTTTCTAGACGCTTCACCCATCGCCCATCACCATCCTCGAATACCGCGAGTCGATCCGCTCCGCCAGTCTCGACGATAAATCCTTGACTGAATCACGCCTCGCCTGGCAGTCTTCCACCGCCTGTCCGCCCCGTGCGAAAGACATATTTCTTTAATACTTGACGAGAGTAATTCTGCCGCCGCCAACTACCTAAACGCTTCGTTCGCGACGTCACAAATTCCACCCGGCTCTGGCACTGAATGCACGGCGACATTCGACGAAAACCCGATACTCGAACAGATTTTCGACACGCGTAACATATTTCATTTTTGGTCAATTTCAAGGGTGAACAACTGCCTTGTTGCACAAACGACCGCCTTTTTATGGATCGCCTTGTGTTTTCGTAGGCTCCTTTGACGCAACCTCCGCCTCGTTCGTCAACCACTGTCCAAACGGACCCCCCGCCAATAACTTTGCACCGCCTTGCCCGACATACTTTTGTACATTTTTGATCTCGTGATCTACTTCAGCTTTTACCTTCGCTACCTCACCTTGGCCCACTTACTTCTCAAACGACGAAATTATCTTAACAGTCGAGATATCTACTGCTTGCTAGCTTGGGTCTTGTTCCCTCAACTTGAAAGCGGCCATGGCGGCCAATATGCAGCACATGGCTGGGGCCGGGCAGATGATGCAGCAGCCGATGCGCAAGCCGACCCCCAATCAGCTGCAGCAGATAGTGTACCAAAACCTTGTCCAACACACACAGCCATTCACTGGCATATGTTGGCAAGCCAATGTAGCCATCAGTGATCGCATGGGTAAGACCATGAACTTGTATGTCCCTACTTAAACTCTGCTACGAACCTTGCTAACCTGTCAAAGGATAACCAACATTTCTCTGGCCATGAACGGAGGGGACTACATGAAGGGGGCTGAATGGGGCTGCAACTTTGAGCGTGAAGCATTTCACAAATCTGCTACAAAGGTGCGCACTTTTTAATTTTCCCTTTTCTGAACGCTAAACTTCCTCCTCTTGACACGTTACTCACAACCATCACAGGAAATTTACGATCAGGAGATGGGTAATAAGATCATGGAATTCTTTAAGAGACGCCAGGCCAATGAACCCACACTCCAGAACAGTATCAATGTTAGCGCTCAAGCGCAGGCACAAGCACAAGCCCAAGCGATGATGAACATGCAGATGGGACGCGGCATGGGCCAAGGCCCGCAGCAAGGCTTCCAGTCTATGCAGCACCCGATGCAAGGTGGCCAGATGAACCAAGCACAACAACAAATGCCGATGAATGCCGGAATGAACATGGGCATGCCGAACCAAGCTGGTCGTGGGATGGGTCCAGGCCAGCAGATGGTAGGTATGGGCGGAGGTCAGAATCGACCTCAACCAACTTCATTCCCCTCTGACATGGCACGGCTTTCGCAACAAGACAGAGTAAAGGTTAGCGAGCTTGCACAAAAGATGTTTAACACTGCCTCAGACCAGCAGAAACAAAACACCAGAATGCAGCTTTCTCAGAGGATAACCCCTACGCAGATGAACGAACTCACTGCACAGGGTAAAGATCCTCTGATGTGGTTTTATCAGAACCAAGCCTTCCAAGTTCTTAAAGCGAACATGGCCAGAATTCAACAAGGCCAGCAGCCGCAAGGGATGGCACAGAATCCCAACAACAATCAAGCACCCATGATGCAACAGCAGGCAAGTCAGCAAGGACTTCGCCAGCAGCAGGCTCAGATCTCTCAACAAGGGCAGCAACAGCATGGTATGATGAATGGCAATCAGGGCAGTAACGACTATAACTCTTTCGCACCCAACATGGATAGCATCGAGAAACAGCAGATGAATGGTTTGATGGCTCAGCAAGCCGGTCAGATGGTAGTACCTGCCAGCGCCGGGCCGAATCGAAACGCGACGCCCCAACCGATGGGCCAGAACGCACCCAACCAGCAGGGTCCCAATCAAGGCCAGCGACCGCCGCAACAACAGCAGCAGAACATGAATCTTCAGCAAATGAAGATGAACCAAGTCTCGCAGCAGTCACAGGCACAACTGCAGGCACAGCAGATGAAGCAGATGCAAAATCAGGCAGGCATGGCCGCCAACATGCAGCCTTCCCAAAGTCCTGCAATGAACACCCTTAACACACCTGTTTCTCGGCCTGGCAACATGAACCAGGGCGCTGGACAGGGCGGTGTTCAGTTCGGCGACCAGCGATTCAACCAAGGGGCACAGCGGCCTAACAACCAAACTTTCCAGAACATGCTGGCAAGTCTACCGCAAGAGCAACGTCAGATCGTGAGCGGTCTGACTCCGGATAAGTTGAATGAGGTAATGCAGCGTTGGCAGTCAAAGCGTAATGAGCAAATGGGTCTAAATAATGGTGGACAGCTTCCTCCGGGGCAAATGGGGAACCGAACTCCAAGCCAGATGAACCAGATGAACCCTAACGGTGCTGGACAAATGCCAGTCAACATGCAGCAGTCGCAAAATGGAATGCCTATGAATGGCAACCCGCAGCAAATGCAGATGCCTCGGCTGGCCCCGAACCAGCAGCTGGCCATGATGGACTCTATGGATTTACCTCCTCAAGTCCTCTCCCAGCTCCAGACTCAGATTCCCCCAGAGGTCAAGAAATGGGGACAGCTGAAGATCTGGCTTCAGCAGAACAACATTCCTCAGCAACTACGGACGCAACTGGCAGCTGTTCAACAAAGGCAGTTCCAACTCGCCCTTCAGCGACGCGCTAGTGCCATGCAACAGCAGCAACCCGGCCAGCCAGGACAGCAGCTTTCACCCCAACAGCAAGGTCAACAACCGCAGCAGCCAGGACAAAACAATGCCAACCCTGGCATGCAAGCTCCAGGTGGACCTGGACCTAATCCCCTCCAAGCAGGACGACCACAGATGCCTGTCAATATACCAGCACACATCCTGCAGGTTTCTCCGCACGAAATAGCGACACTTAGGAATAGACCTCAGTTCACTCAAGCGTCCGATGAACAATTGCGCAATGCAATTCTCCAGATGAAGAGAAGTTCTTGGATGAACCAGCAGGCGCAACAAATGCGAAACCAACAAGCTCAGGCTCATATGGCGCAAGCCCGTAATGGTCAAGGCCAGCAAGTTATGCAGACACAGATGGGTGTTCCCCCGACACAAATGCAGCTCCAACAACCCCAGCCAAACCAAGCTCCTCAGGCCCAGAACATGCCAGGAGCCAACAACATGGGACCGAACAATGCTGCTCAACAAGCGGCTCAGAAACAACCAAGCGTGACTCCAGAGCAAGCACGAAATGCTCGCCCTCAGCCTGCCAACAACCGAGCACAGCCTCCAAACCCATCGCCAGCATCCGCCCCGAAAAATCTCAAGCGCCCGAGTAACGACGATGCCATCGACGTACCCGAAGCCGCAAAGGCAGCGCCCGCGAGACCAGTGTCACAGCCCAACCAGCCACAGCAGGCCCAAGGCCCAAGAATGTTGACTCCTCAGCAAATTGCACAGCTCACACCGGAGCAGCGAGCCAAATACGAAGCGATGATGAGGGCACAGATGAACAAGGCAGGCCAGATTCCTCCTCAAGGTGGAAGCGAGATACTGGCGCGTCTCAAGTCACTAGGACAAGAAGAGCAACGACAATCTGTGAAAGAGAACGATCCTGAGATTCCGATGTCACAGCAGGAGTACCAGGAGACAGCTGAGAAGCTCAAGAAAATTGTGGTTGATATGAGCAAGATCGGCCGTGGTTTGAGCAGATGGTATGGTCTCACGCGAGATGACCAAAGAGCGAAGATGTTTTTCCGAACTGTAAGTCTACGTTCAACTCTATCATGGATAGCACGCACTAACGCAAAACAGCGATGGAGGATTCTTAAGCAGTTCTCTGACGGCGAGAAGATGTCTGTACCTAAAAACGTGTTCACGATGCGAGCCGTGGAAATCGATCAGGCTCGAAATATGCTGGAGAGCATGGCGAAGGATCTCGCTGCGAGCGTGTATGCCAGAGGCCTGAATAATGCTATCAGACAAGCCACACCCCAAAATCAGAATGCACAGGCTGCCCAACCACAACAGCCATTCTCTCAACAACAGCAATCTCAACCTCAACCTGACCAGCCGACGCAACCTCCGGGAGGACAAGCAGCTCCTGCCAATGCCGAAAACGGTCGCCGGAACTCTCAAGCTCAGAATACTCCCAAGGGAGGCAATAAGGGCTCACGGGCCCCAGAAGCTCCTACAAGCGCTCGGCCCCCCTTTCAGTTACCTCCTCATGGCAATCCAACTTATGTCGCACCGTCGAAGGAGCTCAACCTGCAGCTACCGACAGGACGCAAGAAGCAAAAGACTGGACAGACACCCCAGGGCGCTACGCCTTCACCTAAACTTAGCAAGAAAGGATCCCCTGAGCTCCGAAGGACGTCCGAAACGCAGTTGCCGCCTAAGCCAGTCTTTCTCTGCAAGGAACCCGAGTGCGAGTTTTCAACCGCTGGTTATAGCACCGAGCAAGTTCTTCAACAGCATGTCTACGAGGAGCACACGAAGCCTCGAGAAGATCCTCTCAAGTTTGCTCAGGAGAACCTGGCCTTGGCCCTTGGGCTCGAGCCTGATGGAACAATCAAGCGGGAACCAGGGACAGAAGCTGCTGCAATGAGCTTGACCAACTCCAAGCAAGGCCAGACACCTGTCACCATGGCCGCAACTCCTGTGTCTATTACCGATGCCGGCATGAAGCGATCGGCCAGCAGTATGGGCAAACCCCAAGACAAGGCCGGCCTCAAAGCTGGTACAACCCCCAAGATGGCGGATATCAAGCCGGTTGAATCGACTGCCGTTGATCCTTGGGCCAATGCGACTATCGATACGGAGATGCTGGTGAACAACCTGGGAGTTGAGCGCGGGCACGGATTTTACGATAACCCCTACTACGACCTCAACGCTCTCAGCTACTTGACGCCCAGAGATACACCTGACTCGGTCAAGGACACTGGCAGCAGCGAGCCCAACAGCGATCTTCCAGAAGGTGCAGCCATCGACGTTAATGTGGACTGGCATAACATGGATACCGATCTGCTCCTGAACATGACCAACACTTTGGACGCAAGCGGTGTAATGGGCATTGACCCCGCAGCGTTGTTCGACCCGCCCGCGTTGCAAGAACCAGACTGGGAAGATGTCAAGATGGACTTTTCGAAACCTTTCCAATTCGACACTAGCCAACATTACTATATGGCGACTTCATAATAATCGCAGCCGTTGAACGGCATTATACAACAGACGGATTGATTACCTAGCCACCACAAATCGGCCGGTAATTGGGGCTTTCAGGTCCGGGAGATATACCCGACAAATGATATGTTTTGTTTTTGTTTTGTCACCACGACCCGTGGTAGTTGTTGTTAATTGCATTTTGTTTTGGATAACACTTTAGGGATGCGGATGGAAGCCAGGTGACGGCAGTAAAAGGTGGACGTGGCTGAAAACATCATGGAGGGCGCTTTGTTCTGGACCAAGGACGAAAGGCAGGATGTGATTTGGCAGAAGATACACAGGAGTTCGATTGGCAGGAGGCTTTGTTTGTAATGCATGATGCTTTGGTTTATGATGTTATTCGAAGCGCGTTGTGGTTGTTTTAGTGTTTCTAGTTGAAGCTATCAGATGCTTCTTTTTTTTGCAAAGTCGGAATTAGTGGCTAGGGCTTATGAGATTCATAGACATGGACTCTGAGCAAATGATACCCAGCATTTTGCTACTTTGACAGTTCTATATATGTGCATGTATTTGCTCGTGTTATGTCGGTCAAGATTGACTTAAGGTCCGGCCAACTCCCGTTCCTGCATCCGGGCCGCACCGGGAATCATGCCCCGCAAGGCACGCGCCTCCCGTCTCCGGAGGCACAAACGCTAGGCCGTCTTAGGAATAGAACGATGGGCCCCTCCGACACAGCACGCGAATCTGCAGTGTTGACGGCTGGGGAAGATTATGTAAGTTACGCTAGACCGTGTCAGGAAGTAAGTAAATATAGGCGAGGTTGGCTAAGATTTGAGACAGGGATATAAAGCGCGACCGTGTCGGGCGTAAGAGGCTGGGTTAGGGTTACGGACGTGACGGGTGAGGTCAATTAGACGATGAGTGCTCTATCTAATGGTATACCTTCTGGGGCTTGTTACTAGTGGGATGGGATGTCAGTATCAATAAGCGTCAGTGGTTCTGAGGGAGAAAGGGAGACATTGATATCAATAATTGAATATCAAGAATTGAAGAACAATAGCCTGTTTCAAAGTGTTGATCTTCTTTCATAATATTTACTGTTGTCATGTTTCGTCGACCAGGAACGACGCCATTTAGACCAAACTATCCCATCCCATTTTCCGTTTTCTCCAATCCAAAAAAGCCACCCCACCTTATCTTATCGCCCGCGTCCCTTTAACAAAACCACCACTTTACTTTACTCTACTTTACCATTTCCCATCCCAACGTCCTCCCACTAACACGCATTGATTGACACGCGACTAAAGCCTACAAACTTTAAGCTCTATCTTGTTCATACTTTCGTTTCTGCGTCTCTCGTGTATACATAAACAGTGCTTCAGCTTGCAATGGAGCAATCAGCTACATCATCCTCTACATCGTCACCTACGAAGCGACGCGCCCTCGCTCCCTTGGATTCTAACGCGCTTGCTGCACCAAAGAACTTATTCAAGCCTGCATTGGGCCATAGTCCTGTAAAGATGGCTATCGAGGGGAGGAAAAGGTTGCTCGATATTGAGGGTAGCGCGCCTGCTGCTAAGAAGGCGTGTCTGGGACGTGATGAGGTATGCTCTATTACTTACAAGATATCATGATGGGAAATGGACTTGTACCTAACATTGACTGTATAGGACGCGTCTGAGAGGAGTGCCAGTCCTGATGTTAGCGCTGTCTTCGACACGTCTGCCAACGATAATTCATGGGCCACTGCTGCAACCGAACATGATACAGCTGCAGTTCCTACAACAGTACAACCTACACAGCAGACTACAACACTTACACGCCAACAAATAAGACAAGTCAGTTCTTCACGCCCTCCCCACTTACATATATATGCTAATATCCTACAGAGAGCGGAAACACTTCGTCTCCGTCTATCCCTCGCAAACTACAAAGTCCGCACAGGCCAAACAACCGTGCCCCTCTCCGAACTACAACAACGGCCGTTACCCCGCGAGTCACCACGCGTCGTCCGCGTACAAAGCCCCGAGTCCGCCAGCGTCTCTAAGCAAGAGGAAGAGTCAGAGACAAGATCGCGAAGAGACTCGATAGATTCACAGCAGACGGAGATCATGGAGGAGGAAGACGAGGAGCAAAGTTGATGAGATATCGGAATATTAAAAAAAAGGGAAAGATGAGATGATGTTGAGGAGTTCTTGATGGCTTTCTTACTTTTTGGAGCGGGGCATGGCGGGCATGTGAAGCGAGATATGTACGATGGAGAGGCATTTGCTTGGAAAGCATTATTTGATTTGACGATCATGGGCGGTAATGAGACATAAGTGTGTTCTCATCTGGATAAGATTCATCAGAGATATCCTCAGGCGTTATAGAGGAGTTACATTGCACGGACTGGGGTTGCAATGTCTGGATATGTTCTTTTATAAGGGTATATCCAAGCCCAGTTTCAATGATACAGTGACATTGCTCATTCATCAACCAGCGATATATCCAGTACAAGTGAGACTACGCCCAACCTATGGCTGCAATGTTGTCAAGTATGCATTCATTCATTCATTCATCCACTCTTCGCTTCTACACCCAACTCCAATGATACCCAACGTCATAATGCTCCACTTCGAATGCTTAATCGATGAGAATCTTGGGCTCCAGGGATCCATAGTTCTCAAAGAATCCCTTGAACAGCTTGATACCGTATGCGACATCGGCAGTACCTCCCGTCTCACGAATGCTGTGCATGCTGAGCTGCGGGTTGCCGAGGTCCAGAGTCCTCATGCCAAGGGCGGCGGCGAGACCGGGTCCGATGGTGCTACCGCAGGGCGAATCGTTGCGGACGACAAAGAGCTGAAGAGGAACACCGACTGTGCGAGCACACTCCTGAAGGAGTACTATTCCTGGGGAGTTGGTGGCGTATCGCTGGTTGGCGTTGATCTTGATAACAGTTCCGCCGTTCATGGCTGGCTGATGCGAAGACTCGTATTTGCCAGCATAGTTGGGATGCACAGAGTGGGCCATATCAGCAGATACGAGGAAAGATCGTGATAGAGTCTGCTCGTATGCTGTGGCCTCCTCGTTGTCGTGGTGGACAGCCTCATAGCTACCTTCACTAGCAGTGTCCTTTCCAGGAAGAACAGAGAGACGACGGATGACCGATGGCAACAGGTTGGAGTTTGCACCCTGAGCCGAGGTCGAGCCAATCTCTTCGTGATCAAAGCAAACGATCAATCGGATGGTGCTATCTTCCTCAAGTGAGGACTCATCCTTGACGGACTCGATAAGTCCCTCTACTGAGCAGTATGTCATGCCAAGGTTATCGAGACGAGGGGAAAAGATAAACTCGTCGCTAAGGCCACCAATGCATGACTTTTGAGTATCGTAGAGAACCAGCTCAAAATCTATAATCGCAGAAACCTCGACTCCCGCCTCAGCTGCAATAACGTCAAGGACCTGAGGGTGGTGTCTCTCAGCCATGACCTTGAGAGGCCTGAACTCCTCATCCTCCTCATTGTCACCCTTCTTCTCCTCGGGCTTCTCATCCTTTGTGCCCTTGTTCAGCTCAGCTGCAACAAGTCCTGCAATGGGGAAAAGCTCGGTCTCCTTGTTGGGGTCGAAGTTGGTCTGCCGGTGGAGATGAATGGCGAGGGTTGGGATTCTAACCAAAGGCTTGTCAACCTTGACGAGTTTGGAAACAAAGTTGTCGCCCTCCTTGACCAGGACACGGCCGGCGATACTCAAGTCGCGATCGAACCAAGAGGTCCAGATACCGCCGCCATATGTCTCAACGCCGATCTGGAGGTAACCAACGTTGCTCTTCTTAGATACGGGCTTCAGTCGAAGGCAGGGAGAGTCGGTATGGGCTCCAATGATGGCGACAGGGTTTCCAGGGCGCCACTTTCGACCGATAGTGAAGGCTACGATAGTCGAAGCATTGCGGGTGAGGTAGTATTTGCCGCCAGGTCGGAGGGTGGAAGCCCAAGAGTCGCGCTCACGGATAAGCTTGAAACCGGCCTTTTCGAAGCGAGTCGAGGCAGACTGGACGGCATGATAAGCTGTAGGACGTTAGCAGGTATTGAGATTATGGTGAAGTTGAGGTGACCGACGGGTTGGCGACTCATTGACGAACTCAATAAAGTCGAGAGCTTCTTGAGGAGGTGCCATGATGGACGAAGAAGTCGAGAATGAAGCTGCGAATAGACGCGGGGTAGTATCAATTGCGGTTCTGACAGGCGATGCTCGACGTGAAGAGATGCGAAAGAGAGCGAGCATCTGTTGAAGAGATGGTGAAGGAGTCGAGGAAGCGGTGACTAATTAAGGCAAAGTTAATTAAGTCGAGAGATCAACGACAGTAATAAACGGGTTGGGTTGGGGTCATGTGGTGTTTGCTTTGGTTGGTCGTCATCTGCATTCAATCCGCACCTGATGCCGTTAGTAGTGGGGCTTATCTTATCATCCATAACATGAGCTTCCAATTGCGGAACCAAGCGAATGAGGCACGAAGACATTATAGGTAGTCATTGTCATGATACTCAAACTTGGTGTTCTCGTGAAGAGCGTAGAAGAAAATGTGCAAGTCTGCACAGCCTGATAGGTAACTGTAGCCCGCCATCATTGGTCAATCTCAAATGCAGGCTGCGCTGTGTGTCCAACATGTACCAATGCCCATTCGCTATTCTATCCTGGCTCGTGGCATTCAAGCCAATTGGTTGACATTTCAACAGAAGCTGCACTTTCAGACAACCAATCAAGATATATTATCGAGAATAAATGAGAAGTAGAGCTGACCTTGTTCATTCGGTTCGGACTGATGGGAAACAAAAGATTGTTCAAAGTGTTTCTATTCCTAACTTTCTAACCATATGGCATATGCCATCCATCTGTCCCATTCTGAAATCGTCCAATAACTCATCTAAAGCTCGATGGCAAGTCTTCATATCGCCAAAGCTACAAGGTATCCAATATTCCATTTCTATCGAGCCCAAACACAAACAAGAGGGAATCAAAATCAAACGTGACAACCACATCGCTATCCGCTGAACAAAAGAAAACATCTTGGACAATCATAGACCAAAAGCCACACCTTTTTGAGAGTACGGGTGACTGACAGCTTAGTTGTTGCTTTCAGAGCCGGAAGCAACACCCTTCTCAACCTGAGAGACAGAAGTGGTGACTTGAGGCTTGTTGAAGACAAGACCAGGGTGACCGAAGCAGAGGGCAACAGCAGCAAGAACGATGACAATACCCTCCAGAATGATGAAAGGGACCTCGTGCTTGATCAGATCACCATCATAACCCTCACGGAGCTCAGCAACACGATAGATGCATCGAGTGAGGACAAGGATGATGGCACTAGAGAGACCAGCAAAGAAGGCAGTCTCGCGCCAGCCGAAGGCCTTGGCATGGCCAGATCGCCAGTATCGAATCATGTAATCAGAGAAGGCAGCGATGAAGACGACAAGGACGACAACCTGGAGGACAAGACCGGCCATAGAGACATCAACACCAACACTGCTATCAGACTCGGTAGACATGGCACCGCCAGCAGCCTGGAGGATGAGGCAGACGATGTCGAAGGGGATAAAGATCCAGTAGAACAATGCAGGCTTGAAGCGAGAGAGTTCGGGGCCGAAGAAGTTGATTGTCTTGGAGAGGGTGACATAGATGGAAGCGGTATAGAAGACGGGAGCGATGGTGAGGCAGACTAAAACAGGCTGTTAGATTATGACTGTAAAATTGGATGAGAAGGATAAAGACTTACCAATCTGGATCATGAAAGCGTTGAAGGAGAAGGGGTTGTACCACATCATGATACGACCGACATAGCCAACAATCTCAGAGACGCAGCCAAGAAGCATGCCAGTCATGAAACCCCAGCTCTTCCATCGGAAGCCAAGATATGCGTGAACAAGACCAATGAGGCTGAAGAGAACGACGAAGACAATGTTGGCAGCAAGAGATGGTCGGTAGCTGTAGATACTCCACTCAACGGGGCAAGTATCCAAGTTACAGGGCGAATCGGAGCCGAAAGCATCCTCGGGCCTGATGGTGTAATTGTAAGGCATATTGCTGGTTGATGTGTGTTGTATTGTGAGTCGATATAAGCGTGTAAGTCGGGATAGTTAAAGGAGAAGCGAGTGGTGTATTTGTATTTGCTCTCGGCCGGATAAAGGTAAGCTTATGTGTTCCTAGGCTCTGTGGAAGACAGTAGATAAGATTGCAGGAATGTAGATGCTGATGTGTGAATGATGGTGAGAAAAGAAGGTTGTTGGAGGGGAGGATGGGCCATTGATATAGACATGATGAGAGCTGCAGAAACATGCAGATTTGATCTGATTTAATTTGATTTGATATGTGAGAATGGCTATGACAGCGATAATGTCGGACTCGGATCCTCAAACTGCAGACACGGACTAGCAATGAATGAATGAATGCAGTGCATTTGATCCACTCGCACTAAAACACAAGGAGGCTCATCTGCTAAGCAAACGCTAAACAGCGGTAGGCTTGCTGTCGCTCTCGCTCTTTTTTTTTTTCGCGCGAAAGACCATTGAGACCAATAAGACGTAGGATCATGGGCATCTTTTGTGGATGGGATAGCATAGCATCAGCCTCGAAAACGGGGCAGTGTCAGCATTAACAAAGCCGCATGTAGATCCACGCTCTGGATGGTATTGCCGGTACCTCTGGCGTTTATCAAGGTCTGTGAGAATATACGAATTGCATATTGGCTTACACAGCAATACTCAAGATCCTTAGGACTAGACTACACCACAGAAAAGCGAATTAATATGTCCCCATTCAGTATCTTTTTGTGACAATGTCCTCCGACGCTGACAGCTGAAACAGCATCAAAAACGAACAATAATAATTCCCCTGCCAGAAAGAAAGCAAGGATCAATCCAAAGGAATGATCAACGGGAGAGCTCAGCCTATCACATCGGGACCCAAAGATAAAGATAGCGGTAGAACCACGCACGCTAAAAAGTCAAAGTGCGAGAAGCGAGTCCGAGTGAGATTGATCGCCACGATCCGACCAATCATCATCTCGGCCACGGGAATGAGCGCTGCGTAGGACTCTGATCCGTTAGTGAATGATGCGTCATTCTCAGCCCTTTTTTCCTTTCGAATCGCTTTCTCTTTCAGTTTGCTCGTGGAGGCTTGGAGAGAATATCCCTGACTTTACAGCCTGGCTTGCGTCACATTTTCTTCAACGACACAATTTTAGGATAATGACGAATGGGACTAATGTCAATTTACCTTTAGGCATATTTTTCCTTATTTCCTGTAAGATTCGTGTAATTGACCCGGCTTACACCCATCCCATCATCAGCTGGAGCCATCAGCTCAACACTGGAGACTCACTCTCCGGCTTCTGCTGACATGTGTGCCTTGCGTACGAAGCTCGCGTTGCATATTCAGCTCTACAAGCTCTGCATTGTAATTTACAGTAAATTGGTCCTTGAAACAATGCATCGTCTCTGCGATATATCTACCTGCTGGATTGCAGTCCAGGTTGAAACAGCTATCTAACCGCCAGCCCATTTTCCATAATCCACCAAACTATTATCTTACCATCCACTCCAGCAATTTAAACCTCGCTGGCTTCAACACGTGTACGCGTAATGATTCGTAGTTCAGCCCAATTTCCTCACGACAGTGCATATAATCAATCACAAAGGTTTATCGTAAGATGTCCTCTCTCCGCATTCTTTCGTGGTGCGGGCCACGCGGTTTGAACTGGTCAGATTCTTGAACACGAAGCTTAAGAATCTGACGAGGCTTGGTTTATTGGTAGGGGAACCGTCTACTAGTGAAGACTTTTCATTTATTAGCTCCAGGCTATTTGTTTATCTGACTGTGTTCCGTACGGAGTAAGATGCATGTCACTTGGTCCGACTCCGTGTCCGTACCAGTATCAGTGGGTTAGATGCAGCCTGGCCGTTTTATAGCTCCGATCCGAGTGCGACCAGAGCCTCATACTTCCGTTTCAACTTTCCTTACCTAATCATACTCTTCAACGAACGTTATTGTTTCTTGTCCTCGTAGTGAACACTCGGGAGGCCCTGTTACTCTCGAGTTCCCTGAGAATAGACCTCTGCAACGACAAACGGTCAAATTCCGCCGCGACTAAAGATATACCTTGTACCAATTACCCGCAGCTGAGACATGAACCTATTGTAGGTACTAATATATTCCATGTATACAAGTTTCATGCACTGAACAGTACCATATCAGAATCAGACCAATGCTAAAGCAGTCTGCACAGCTTCAACCGGCCCTGACCTACCAATCCTACAACCATTAAGAAAATACTGCAATCGATGGTGAAACTACATCTAAGCTTTAGAACATGTGTACTACTAAGCCTCTCGATCGAATTCTCCAACAGGCAGTTCCGCCCTCCAACTGCAATCGAGTCTCTCCAACTGCAATGCCACGTTGCCATTTCTCCTCAAGAGGCGTTATGAGGGGAAAATTACCAATACAAGACCCCAGAGCGAATACAATATGGATAGTGACATAAATATTCTATGTAATATCTCCAACTCAATTAGCCGTGGCTGATACTCGGCCCGATCTCGCACAACGTTCTCGTATAGCCCTTCCCACGCCAAGATATCCTCCAACCTCCAAATACCACCACGAGGTCTATCAGAAATCGCCAATCTCAGTGTGGAGACAGATCCCACAGGGTGCAGCATTCAAATCTGAAGAGGCTGTATCTCCGTGCAGGATAAATACACCAAGCCAGGCCAAGAGACTATCCTGCCATTTCCCCCCGCTGTCTCAGGGGAAGAGGAAATTCAGACATCCATTTAGTGTTTGGGCGTTACTATGAAGATGGCGAAGTTGGAGAAGAGACTCTAATCTCCTCAGCTATCATACCGACCCAAGATCAAAGCCGAAAACTCAGTTTCTATCAAAAGTCCAAGCTATAGGGCCGAGATGTTTTAACCACGAGCCTGCCAGTAAGCGATGTCCGTATCGCCACGATTACAGATCTCGGTGAGAGCCGTGTTGCCGAGCGTATTCTTGGTAATCAGTTTAGCTGAGTATATGCTGTGTTTTGACGTATTTGGGGTTGTTATTCCAGCTATGTCAGTATGAGGGGCCATCGGAATCTTGTAATGGGCTTTAATATTAACTCTCGACGGCAATGG